CAACTATATTATTATAATATTGCAAAGATCAAAATTAAGCTGATTGAATCTTTGCACAGCACAAAACGTAACCCAGACGGTACAAGGGTCTAATTATCAGACTATTTTCTACGCAAATGTAAGAAGCGCGTTTCGAAAATTCCTAACGGTCGATATAATTCCACAAAGGCAATTACCAGTTTTAATTTTTTAAGAGGAGTTTTAGTAGGTATTATCTCTTGTTAACCATATGATTTACAGAAGTTTACATTTTCAGCGTGCAAAAGGGACACACCACCTTCAATTTATTTGTTTAATTCCATATTTCTCTCATTCAAATATGTTACAGTGTTCGGTGACGTGCGAAAACGGGATCAAGGAGCGCTTGGTTGAGTGTATCGAAGGATCGACTGGAGAGGTGTTAGCAGCCAGTGAGTGTGTCGTAACAGAAGGATACACACCTATGAATAATACCATGCCATGCTCTCAACCAGTTTGCCCAACGGGTAACCCTACATTGTCAGGTAATAATGATCTATTGAAGTTTGTCACATTGATGAAGATATGATATTCAGGTCCCACGAGTACTCAAGGCCATGTCTGAATTTTCATATTGCTCCGGTTGTCTCATTTTCGCTCGCTGGAACCATGGAGATCTCCATGCTGGAACATTGCCAGCACAAACCACTGACCTCTACCTCCTGGACGGATCATCGCCCATTCCCATTCACTATACGTTACGTACTAAAAGGCTGTATTGTCTGACCGTTCATGAATATTCATGTTTTTGCTTACCTCGGCAAAATGTTTGCTTTTACTAAATGGAAAAATGACGGTGGGGGTTGGATGATATGGACATAATGAACCAAGCAGAAGTGATCTATGATAATTCATGCTTCTTATCCTTCGTGTGCTTGACCTATAATCTTAAAATCGCATGGCAAACTGAGTCCAAAGTTCGACTTGTTTCACATGTGTATTATAGGCAATGACGAGCTTATCAAAATACGGTGGGTGAACTTTCAAAAGTCAATGCGACATGAGGGTTCCAATGAAAGAGCTATAGTGCTAACGTACGTCGGGGTGATGTGCTTTTTGTTTAAACAAAAAATGAATTTTTAACGATTTTTTTTGGTAATATTCCATAGGCTAACATGTTAGGCTGCTGACTCTGACGATAGGGGGCGTTGTGAAATGAGACTAAACGGAGCTATATGTCTTCTAATCTTGGTCCAATAATTTGCCACCAACTTCACAACCATGAATTATGAATATTATTTTAAAATACGATATAGGATCAGGCCTCTACAGTGATGTGTCACTGTAATTTGTATGGGTACTGTAACCACTTGCATTGCCACACTAACATGGTTAATTAATCAAATTGAATCAACACGTGATTCTTTCTTCCATGCGTTCTAAACATTTTGGATCCTTTCCTTCCCTTCCTTTCCATTTCTTTTTGCGTGTGTTTTTTGCACCCCCTCCACGTGCCGCCCGAGGCACGTACCCCTCTGCTGCCACTTAATACGCCACTGGTATTATATTCCCCATTAAAAAGTCTCCTTCTTCTCATTAATTCATCCTTGATCAACAACTCATCTCCAGTCTCACCCAATAGCCCGAATTCACAAAGGAGGTTTGTCGACAAACCGAGGTTTATGTACGTCATATGACGCGTTTTGACGCGTTTTTTACAAACCTGGTTTGTAAAAACGCGTCGAAACGCGTCATGACGCACGAAAACCAAGGTTTGTCGACAAACCTCCTTTGTGATTTCGGGCCATAGTGTGTGCAGTATCCTGTTTTACCTTCTCTTGCATGTTTTGAAAATACTTTCATTTTTTTTCTCTCTTTATAAAACTACAGCTGAAGAAGAAGCAACCATCTTGACCACGTATAATGACTCCATAACACATTCATCTCATGGGGGCCTTCCACCAGTTCTCTCTATTCCATTACTTAGTTTTATACTCGTTGTTTCAGTAGAGTGTTGCATAATTACTATATGATGCAAGAAATGTAAAAAGATATGAGATGACAAGTTTGTTTCAGTACAACACTGCGCTTAGAGATTTGGAAGAAAAAAACATTCCAGAAAAGAGATGTTTTGCAACCGTCCAAATGAGTAATGCGACTGTTCTGCTTTATAACACAGTTGGCAGCAGACAACATCAAATGAAGAAAAAAACATATTGAAGATAATAAAAATCATCAAAATTAATGTTTGAAAGTTATATCCAAAATGAGTGAAATACAAATTGTAGCTGCTTACAACGAATGATAAGCAACTAAGATAGACCTGAATTTGCAGAATTTGTTTTTAAGTACTCCAACACGAAACAGAAATACGATGTGATGTATCTGCGGTTCAATCAATGCTCAAACAAAGAAGGCCCCGATACAAGACAGATATGCAGACATTTCTGGAATAAACTCTATCACTGTTCTTCAAATTTTGATCTTAACCTAATTGTGCTGCATAAATGCTTACAATTTCGTAATTATTCATAGTTATATTCTCAAAGATGCAATCAAAGATTTAACAGTTTGAAATATTATTTATGTATTCATGTTTTATTGCTTAATTCTCATGGTTTCTTTAAATGTGTGCTTGAATTGCGAAATTGTTGTAAATTGATTCATGTAATGCAGAAAAACAAGATGACTCAATATATTAACATACTGTTTATAAACTAACTTAACGTCCTCCATCCCCTTTTTTTTTCATTCTCTCTCTCTCTCTCTCTCTCTCTCTCTTTTTCTCTCCTTTCCCCTCTCCCCCTCTCCCCCTCTCTCCTCTCCCCCGTTCACTCCTCCCCTCCCCCTCTCACCCTCTCCCCCTCACCCTCTCTCCTTTCCCCTCTCTCCCTCTCCCCCTCTCCCCCACCCCCGTTCACTCCACCCCTCCCCCTCCCACCCTCTCTCTCCTACTCCTTTCCTCTTTTCCTTCCTCCCCCATTCTTGTAAAGAAGTTGAATAAGGTAAATCCTACATTTAGATATCCTTTTCTGTTCCCAAGTTCGAGTGAGGCCCAAGGTACATTCAAGAAAACACTGTAGCTCATATGATTGGAATCATTTTTCTTACCTCTGTTCATAACATGGTTGTGAAGATATGGTGTTATTCTAGATAAGTAAAGTTTATATATTCTCAGAACTTAAACCATCAAGAATAAACCATGTTCTTACAATCATATTTTCATGAACAGATAACGAAAAATTATTCTAACATTTTGGGCGACATCTTCAGAGAGAGAGAGAGAGAGAAATTAGAGAAAGAGAGACAGAGAGAGAGAGAGAGAGAGAGAGAGAGAGAAGGAGGGAGGCAAGAATGCACTCATCCAAAACATAAATCCCCATTCTTCATCAAGTTCTATACATATTGATCAAAGAGAAAAATAATTTCCATAAAGCCCCATTTTTGTCTTGTTTTGTCACAATATTACAATTTACAATATCAAATGCCTGCAACCATTTGATAGAATCTCTCTCACTCCAATCATTGTCGCATTCGGTCATGAACTCAGCACCTCTATATTGATATTATTATTATCAAAGATATTCTTTGCACTGATGTCAAACACCCCGATGGTTGCGAATAGATTAAGTGAAAATATGCAGATATTGAATTTGATTTGAATCGAGAGAAAACGTGCTCTTATGAATGGAAAACGTTGGTCGATGTGGCTCTGGATGTAGGTCGTTCGATAGGCTCTGAAATTCGTAAAAATATTGTTCCAAATGATGAAGGTGACATTCTGCATGAGAAAACTAAGATGATATATATATATATCTTTATATGGATGACGTCGGAGAAGGGAAGGGCAAGAAGAACATGGTGTTAAAAATTGAAAAAAAAGAGTGAGTAAAAATGACTCAAATCAGTATTTTCTTGTAAATCCTTGCCGTTTTCATCTTTTCATGTAGGGCCTACTTGCCATGAAAGTGGTTGCCTATGGCCGAGTGCTGTGTAGCTATAAGTTGTCCAGGGGGTGTTTCACAAATATCCTAAGTTGAACTTACATCTAAGTTGGACTTAACAATTATGGAAAGCCACTAGCATCTTTGAAAATATTTTGTAAAAGTTATTTTAAAGGGTATAAAATGTTGATATCACGGGAGATTTCATGTTCTTGACAAACCTAAAAATATTTGAATTTTTGTTTATAATAATAATAATAAAAAAAACAAAAACGTTACTTTTAAAGTGCTTACCACCGAAGCCTCTAAGCGCTAAAAATTGTTTCCGCCCGGGTTCGAACCGGGGACCTTGCGCGTGTGAGGCGCACGTGATAACCACTACACTACGGAAACCCGATGCTTTTGAACAATTTTATTTTAAGCCTACAAATGGCTCTCCATAATTTTTGAAGTCCAACTTAGAGTTAAATTTGACTTTAAATCCTTGTTCAACACCCCCTGAGATATATTGGTGGGAAGGGATAAGTGTCCCTGAGGATATTGTCCTGACCTAGGAGTACTTGTTTGGAAGTGGTCGTCCACGGAGTAATCGTCCTAATACACAGCCGGAAGTACCACCCTCGGTCGCGTGCCCCTATCCCACCCCTTGCCACAAACAAAGTTTATAAAGGGACGTCTTTTATTTTCGCATTATCCTTGTAATTTTAGGTATGATGATATAGGTATAACGGATAGTTTGTGGTTTGTATACGTTGATGTTTGGTGTGTGTAATACAGGTGTATGAATGATGTGAACCAATGTTTAGATAGGTTACCCTCAAGTATGTATGTCCGGCGAGTGAACAAAGCACAGAGGTATGGCAAACGTTTAGAGCGGAATCTAGACCGGTTTTGGGTTTGATGTGAATCATCCTCATGAAGTTTAATCACTACCGACTTCTACCACAGCGGCACGCTATACAACCATTCACTTTCTTGTCATGTAACGGTATTTCATGGATTTTAGTGGAGCAGGTTATGGGAGCAAGGTTGGGGGTAATTAACTCTTCCATTTAATTCACCAAAGTGTAAACATGTACACATATTAATCAGGAATTATTACAAATGTCATGTTGATTCGCAGACAGATTGGAGCTCTCAATTCTAGTCAGCATTGAACAAGGAATCTCTGGGAGGGGGATGCACGAGTGTGAAAACGGTTCTTTCCTCGTAGAAGACGTCCCCGTCTTGCTCTATACTAACAAGCCGTATCAGGATTGTTACCCCTGGAAAATCATCCCACGAAAAACTACCCTCGGAAAATTACCCCCCCCCCCCCCGGAAAATGGGGATGATGATGATGATGCTGATGATGATGGTGGTCGTGGTCGTGGTGGTGATGATGATGACGATGATGACAGTGGTTGTCGCGGTGGAGGTGGTGATTTATAAGATTTTACTCCACGCCTCTCCACATCCTTTTTATAATTATATATATTAGCGTGTTATCAGACTCGTAAAACAAGTCAGCTGAATATATCTCTTGGTTTTGCGGCCTCTGGTTGGCTTCTGCTTAACACCATGAGATAGTTCTAGGAATGACCGCACCACAAAAGATCTTCAAGATCTTTGTCTCAAGACTAAAGAAGTTCTCCTAGGTGTTGGAAAGGTCATTGCCTGCCATTGCTCGAAGGGCATTTATATAGTGGGCGGTTGAACGTAGCCTATTCGTTATATTTTTACTTGCTATATTGAACTGCATCAAAGGAAGAATGAAAGAAACAAACAAACAAAAAAACAAAAGAAGGAAGAAAGGAAGATAAATTGATATGTTCTTAGGTATATATAGGCAGATATATAGAGACAGAGAAAGAGAGAGAGAGAGAGACATATAGAGAGACAGAGAGAGAGAGAGAGAGAGAGAGAGGGGGAGAGAGGGGGGAGAGAGAGAGCATTATAATTAAATGGAAAATGCAAACATTAAAGGTCCTCTCCCCTCTCCGTGTCTTTTGTCTTCCATCAACTAACGTTTGGCGAAAAACAGGAAATACAAGAATATACTTTCTTCGAGAATTGACCATTCCTTACTTTTCTTAGACAGTGCGCTAATATTATGAGTATCCTAAGAGTCACGTCACATTCTGTCCCCCACTCATCTTCATTTCTCCGTAGTACAGACATGCATGAGATATAGCAATGAATTCTGACGTCATAATGGCAAGAGATAGGAATTTAAAAACACAAATAGACAGGAAGATCAATCCATTCACTCAAAACAATGATGGAATGAAACATTCGTAAATCCATTGACGTCTATATCATCTTCATCGGCTCTGACCGAGTCGTTCTTTGGATGGTCCACTGAATAGCGAGGTTATAATTAATGCACAATAGGAGTGGGTTGTCTGATAAGAAAGTGACGAAAGGTATAAACAACGTTTTCTTCGCGTGGAGCTTCCATATTTAGAAGTAATCGTGAAGTCTGCTCTTGAAATATTCTGGCTCCTCTGTTCATAATGATAATATCGAGTAGAATTCCTGTTAGGTGAATAGCCGGAGAGGGGAGATTCTGTTGCGTTAAAGCAGCATCTAAATTTATATGCGATACCATGTTATGTAAAGCGATTGTATTCAGTGATGGGTTAAGAGATATTCAAGATGTAATCGAGGTAACGATCGATGTTAGTGGTCAGGTACCATCTTGCACGTGTTAACTATAGTTGTGTTGGATTCAGTATAGATTCAGCCTTAAAGTTGTCAACAAACACATATACACTCACACGTATTGTATATAATTTGCAGTATGATATTACTGGCAAAAACACATACCTAAAGCCTTTTTTCTGACTTTCGTCACTCCTGATTCTTAGTTTTTCCCTTATGGTATTTTTTCTTCCAACACTAGTTCTTCCTCTCTGACTCCCACCTTTTTTCTCTCCCTTCTTGATTCTCTCTCTCCCTCCCTCAATCTGATTATCTATTAATCTATGTGCCTTTATACCATCTGATAATCCTAGCTATTTCGGTTTAAAATGTAAAAGAATATTATTGCGCTACTACTTTTGTATGCAGTTATTATTTTGTGTAATGCTTTTTACAATGTTCATTATAATCTGTTTTTATGTCAAAGATTTGTAAAAAAATCGTGCAATTCAGCCTTTGGGCTGCAATGTGATTTTTGAATAAATAAACCATTATACAAAACAAGAAACCTCTACGAGGTCGACCGCGCTCTCCATGACAAGCTACTACGGGAGAACATCACCAAGAGCTACCGAACCGCCACCATGGCAACCGTTGATGACATCAACGCCGAGGCGCAAGCAATAGCGTCAGAACTCAAAATCGACAACCGAATGGAGACTATGGCAAAGAAGCAAGCATTCATAACATTAAAAGACCACAAGGACAACTTCGAGAACAACCTGCCCTGCCGACTTATCAACCCGGCTAAGAGTGAAACAGGCATTATAGGCAAAATCACCCTAGAGAAGATTAACAACGCAGTAAGATCAGCGACAGGAGTAAACCAGTGGAGGAGCTCAATGGCTGTGGTAGACTGGTTTAAAAGCATCAAAGAAAAGGACAAGCACACCTTCATAAGCTTCGACATAGTTGA